AGCTGGGCATGGTGGCGCGTGCCTGTAATCCCAGCTACTCAGGAGGCTGAGGCAGGAGAATTGCCTGAACCCAGGAGGCGGAGGTTGCGGTGAGCCGAGATCATGCCATTGTACTCCAGCCTGGGTAACATGAGTGAAACTCCGTCTCAAACAAACAAACAAACAAAAAAAAAAATTAAAAAATTGAAAATATATCGACACAAAAAACTTGTACATGAATGTTCTTATAGGCATTTTTTTTTTTTTTAGAGAAAGTCTCTGTCACCAGGCTGGAGTGCAGCTGCGTGAGTAGCTGAGGTTACAGGCACCTGTCACCACGCTTAGCTAATTTTTGTATTTTTAGTAGAGACAGGGTTTCACCATGTTAGCCAGGCTAGTCTTGAACCCCTGACCTCAAGAGATCCGCCCACTGCGGTCTCCCAAAGTGCTGGGATTACAGGCATGAGCCACCGCGCCCAGCGGTGTAGAAACCACCCAAATTTCCATCAACTGATGAATGCATGACCAAAATGTGGCAGCCCCACAGAGTGGGACAGTATTCAGCCACAAAAAAGAATGGAGGTCTAACAGATGCCACAAATGGGTGAGCCCTGAAAACATTACACTAAGTCAAAGAAGCCAGAAGAAAAGGCTGCATACTATACACTTTCATTTATAGGAAACATCCAGAATAGGCAAATCCATAGAAACAGAAACTAGATTACTGATTGCCAGGGACTACAGGAAACCCTCACTGACGATAACACACACAGGATTCGTTTGGGGGTGATGGAAAAGTTCTGGAATTAGGCAGCGGTGATGGTTACAACCTTGTAAATGCACTAAAAAGCACTGAACTGCATCATTGTAAACGGTTACAATGGTGAATTTTACTTCAATCAAAAAAATGATTTAGGCCATGCACGGTGGCTCATGCCTGTAATCCCAACACTTTGGGAGGCTGAGGCAGGCAGATCACCTGAGGTCAGGAATTCGAGACCAGCCTGGCCAACATGGTGAAACCTGTCTCCACTAAAAATACACACACACACAAAATTAGCCAGGCGTGGTGGCAGGCACCTGTAATCCCAACTACCTGGGAGGCTGAGGCAGGAGAATCGCTTGAACCCGGGGGGCGGCGTTGCAGTGAGCTGAGATCGCACCACTGCATTCCAGCCTGGGCGACAAAGTGAGACTCCGTCTTAAAAAAGAAAAAAATGATGTAAAAAATTCTGCACTCTTCCAAAAATGTCAATATCCTGAAATACAAAGACAGACTCAGAAACAGTCCCAACTAACGGAGACTCAGGAGACGACACTAAGGGCACACATGCTTTCAGACCTTCTTTTGCTATAAAGGTAGTTATGGGGACCAGTCACAAACTGTCAAGGTTAAATAATATCGATTAATGTTAAGTTCATATTTTTTTCTTTTTTTTTTTTTTTGTCGGAGTTTTGTTTTTTTTTTCCTGGTTTGTTTTCTATGGCGGGGTTTTGGCTTTCCGCCACCTCCGCCTCCTGGATTCAGGCAATTCTCCTGCCTCAGCCTCCTGAGTAGCTGGGATTACAGGCACACGCCACCATGCCCAGCTAATTTTTTGTAGTTTTAGTAGAGACGGGGTTTCACCATGTTGACCAGGATGGTCTGGATCTCGTGACCTCGTGATCCACCCGCCTCGGCTTTCTTTTTTTTATAAGTGGAGTCTCACCCTTATTACCCAGGCTGGAGTACAGTGGTGTGATCTTGGCTCACTGCAACCTCCATCTCCCAGGTTCAAGCGATTCTCGTGCCTCAGCATCCTGAGTAGCTGGGATTACAGGTGTGCACCACCACGCCTGGCTAATTTTTGTGTTTTTAAAGTAGAGATGGGGTTTCACTGTGTTGGCCAGGTGGGTCTCGAACTCCTGACCTCAGGTGATCCACCTGCCTTGGCCTCCCAAAGTGCTGGGATTACAAGTGCGAGCCACTGTGCCTGGCCACTGATCTCTAATTTTAATACTTGCACTTGGTTGAATAATTCCTGCTTGCCCTGCCGTATGAGGACACAGCACGAAGGTGGCCGTCTGCAGGCCAAGGAGAGAGCCCCTGTGAGAACCGGACCATGCTGCCCCCCTCATCTCAGACTTCCGCATCCAGGACTGTGAGAATTAAATTTCTATTGTTTCAGCCAAAGCAGCTTCATTCATTCATTCCCTCGTTAATTTCACATCTATTCCCGAAGCAGGTAAGAGATGCTAGGCCCACCCTCATGGCATCCCCCACCGACAGCGACGTTAGGCAAATGATCCCCCAAATAAGCCTCATAATTACCCTGTGGGAACGCCAGGGAGGAAGGGAGAGGGAGTACTGGAGAGCCCAGATCTGGGGGATGAGTGGGTGCTAAGCCAGCGGAGAAGGAAAGGCAGGCCTGCGGAGGATCAGCACAGCGCCTAGGAAGCTGCTTGGGTGGGAAGTGGCTGGGGGCCTGGGGAAGAAGCTCAGACAGTGCGGACTGCTGGGCCCATGGGCAGAGCCAGGCGTCAGGGCTGCCCTCCCAGGAGGAGGCAGGAGCACTCCACAGCATTTGCTGAATGAACAAGGCGTGTCCCCAGTGCCCAACCCACTTCTTCCCTCCACCTACTCACCCCCCACTCCTGGGGGTAGGGCCGGAAGGCGCCTGGCAGAGCAGCCTCCACGAGTTGCCCCCCTTGGCTTGCAGAGCCAGCAACTGCCAGGTGGCATGAGGACGGGGAAGGAGCCTCCGGAGCTGGGTGCAGAGATAGAGGCCTCTGGGCAGGACCCCCAGCTGGACAACAGAGAGGCTGGCAGCGGGTGGGGCACCTTGACGGGAAGGGAACTGAGGGCCACGCGGGCTGATGAGTTGCTCCAGCCGTGAGTAGGCAGTGACACCCTGTGATTATAAATAACCTGCCGGCGCCTGGGTCAGCTGCCAGGCCGAGGCCCAGGGAGGCTCCTGGGGCGACAGCTGCCACCCAGCCCCCTGGCACCCCTGCCCCCAACACTCTAGGGGAAGCTGCCACATGGAAAGCCTGGTAAATCAAGGAGCCCAGAGGCCCCTGCCCACATCTCATCACCCCAGAGCCAGTGGGGGGAGCGGAGGACCCCTCTCCACCCCCGACTCCTGCACCCAAGCACCCAAAGAGGACCCCAGCCCCAGCAGGCTCACAGATCCCGGCACCAGGGAAAACCGCGTGCACGCCGGCGACTTCCAGGACCCTGGGGAAGGACGCGGGGGCCGGCACCCGCCCTGCCCCTCCCCCGCCTCCCCCTAGAAGTCCGCGGAGAACTCACACGACCAGGTACGCCAGGATGGAGGCCTGCAGCAGCCGGTACAGCAGCCCCACCTTCTTGTTCTTGGCGATGACATACTTCTCGGTCTTGTAGTCAAACAGCGACAGGCAGAGCCCCCCGCAGCCCGCCTGCCCCATGGCGCGATCTCAGCCGGGCCCACGTGCGCTCATGGGGAGCCCTGGGTGCCTGCGCTCCCGGCCAGTCTGCGCCAGCCCAGCTTGCAGCTCCGGGGCGCGGCGGCGGGTCGGGCCGGCCTTTTATCAGTGCGGCGGAGAAAGCCTGGGCCGGGAGCTGGGCTGCAGGGAGCGCCGGAGCCTCGTACCCAGACCTTGCCGCCACCTTTTCCTCCTCCTCCTCCTCCCCTGACACACTGACACCCCTGCTGCCTGGGAGCGCAGCCCCGGATACGCAGGATCGCCTGCGCTGTGGCCCAGCTGAGAGCCGCGATCGCTGAGGAGAGGAAGTGAAAGGGGGAGGGGCTCCTCTTTTTAATTTTTTTTTTTTTTTTTTTT